CTCAGTTCCTTCTCTCATTTTGATTGACTTTAACCACTGTGTTGAAAAAGATTGTTTCAAAAGAAGGAGATAGGAAGAGACTTGGTCCCATCTCTCTTGAAGGAAGGCTTTCCTTTTAGGGCTTGGACTTGAGGAGAAGAGACCGACCTGATTCTCTAGAAAGATGAGCTGGAGCCCTTTTCAATTATTCAGTGTATAACAGTTGTTAGCTCTGACACAGAGCTGCTGCAGTTTAGGTCACAGGTGTGGGATGTGGTTTATAAATTTAAAAAAAAAAGAGCAGTGTAATGGGATCCTCCTCACATATGTGACTGCTTTCAGACCTGGATCATTGCCACAGCCTTTTGACATTCTCGCACAAACTTTCTGCTCTAGGATCCTTCTGAAACATTGGATCTTGGTCTGACCTAAATGGCCTCTTTACACATAAACAGGTAGTCTCTAATTAGAAAGACACATGAATATTAAGAACGTAGCACTTTTTAATCTTCAAGGACAAAATTAGCTAACTCTCAGAACACCTCCATCAAGAAGGTTGGCAGCATCCCTAACTTACTACTGGGGAAACTGAAGCACTATAGTTAAGTCTAATACTTTCAGACTTGGACATCTACAGTTGGGCACAGTCCACAGTTGGTGTTTTGATTGCCAGAGGAGCTGGGCACTCGCAACTGCTACAGAAAGTTAGATGGAGTGATAAGTACCCAGCAACTGTGAAGATCAGTTCACTTATTTAAATGCCTATAGAGGGGTTTAGTTGCCTAACTTTAGATATCTGCTTTGAAAATTTTGTTTCAACTAACTTGCCCACACCCACAGAGAGTGACAGTCAGGGTGAATCTGAGGATCTTTTGACTCCCATGACTCCCACTGACTTTCAGATCAGTGTTACAAATTTCTTCCTTCCCATCTTACAATAGAACTGAGAATTAACGTTCTGCCTCCTGCTTTTGGAGCCTCCCATGTCACTACAATATCTCTGTACTGGAGATGATGATAACCTTTATAAATGTCTAGAGACACACTATCACTTTCTTCTCAGAAGGAACTAATGATAAAAGAGGCATAGTTCACAGAAGTATAATAAACATTCAGTAATAGTATATTACAGTTCAGCCCCCATGCTTTCTTTTACTGGAAGAGCCTGTGATAACTCAGCTCTACTCCATTTTACAATGATTCATTGTCAGAGCTGCAGAGAGACACAAGGCAGAATAAGTTTGAGTGCAACAATCAATGTCCCTTTGGACACTTTGTCATTACCTTACTCATCTATGCTCCAAGAACCTTTTAGTGACCTTCTTCACTAGGCTGGGTGCTTGCCTCAGATTGATTTTTTTCCCCCGCTTTGGAAAACTCCAGGCAAAACACTGCAGCCTTTTCATTTTTCACATGTAGAAATATCTTATTTTTTTAGTAGCAAAGTATCTCCAAAGCTCCTACCCTTACTAAACATATACAAGTCTCACCCCAAACCATACACTTTTCCCTAGCCTCATTTCAGAATTTCTAAAAAACAAACAACAACAACAAAATCAGCCTCCAGCAGACACCCAGTATGAAAATTTTTAGCCCAAAAAGCTACCATTTGTCAGCTGCAAATAACTGAAAAGAAAGTTTTATATTGGACAACCTGAATTATAGGTGATGCTATCAGTGGCAGCCTTTTATTGATTTATAATTGTGTTTAGCCTTTACCAAAACAATTCCATGATTCAGAATCCAAATGAAATTTGCATTTGATAGAAGATTTTTCTGTTTGCTGCTATCTAAACTACCAACGTTTTCACAAGATCAGAATTTTCCATGAAGTGGCAAATCTGTTTTCCAACCTGCTCTAGGTACAAGGTACAACTGGTCAGTATTAACTTCATGTTAACAGGGTTTCTGGGTGGTGAATTTATCTGCAGAGTAAGTCACTAGCACTACAAATTTCCCTTATTTTCCCATCAATGCCCAGAGTCTAGCCAAGGGACCTCAATGTTCATCTAGTCCAGCCCCTGCTCAGATGCAGGATTGACTGTTTATAAATGATTCAGCCTCTTCTTGAAAACCTTCAGTGAAGGTGTCACAACCCAAGGGTGTGATTTTGTTTGTGTGCGCTTCGGCACTGCTAAATTATTTCCTGCCACTCGGAGCTTTCTTTGCAGGGTGCATTTCTCAGTTGCAAAGAGAAATGCACGGTGCAAAGGAGTTCCCGCCACCCCCATGCAAATTTGTGTCCCGCTATTGGCCAGGTCTAAATTATTCCCACGTGGCGGCTAGCGATTGGCTTGCTAGCCGTATAAGAGGCTTGAGCGGTTTCCGCCCAAGTTGGAGGACTCCACAACTATCAGGAGAAGGAGAACTTCATGTCTCGTGAAGATCTCTAAGTGCTGCGGAACCTATTGGACTGTACCTTAAGAAGGCTATAGGGGTCTGATCAACCTCTGGCCTCTCCCCGTTGCCGAACAATCCCTCGACGAACCCCTTCCCTGCGCGCAAGTTCCATGGAGCCTAGCAAACTTCGTGTGAGTGTATCCAGAGCTCTTCTCCGAGTTGTTTTCTTCGGTTGACACAACGGGCTCGCGTGTTTAGAGCCTTCAACCGGATTGGGCTAGAGTTTGCGTGGAAGGAACTCTTGTCCGCTTTTCTTCTTTCCTGTCTGTAACCGCAACTCAAGCAAGTTTTCCTGCCTGCACCGCGACCATCTACGGTGTAAGTAAAATAATCTTTAATCAACCGCTAAGCATCTGTGCCTAATTCTAGTCCACCGGCCTGCATTCCCCGACCCGCGTGCCAGGGCTGCTGGCCACAGCCCGCCGCGCGCCCCCGAGGGCCTCGGACCGCTCCCAGCCCACACAGAAGGAAGTTCTACAGTTCCTTTAGGCAGCTGATTCCATTGGACTAGTTCATTTCAGTTTTTCTGGTTCTATAGAGTCCTTCATCTCTGATCCAAGAGTGTCACAGGTTGCGAATTATAGTGACAGGTTATTCTGTGAGCTTGTTGCAGTTCACAAAAAACTAGACTGACACACACTGGTTGTGTCTACATGAGATGCTTTACTGCACATTAGACTAATCTAACGTGCAGTAACGCATCACCCTCTACACATGTGCAGCAATTACTGCCCCGTAGATTAGTCTAATGCACCATTTTCTAGTACCTGTAGATACAAGTACTAAAAATTGGTGCATTAAAGTAATGCGCTGAAGCTCAGGTGTAGATGCTGTCTAGGACCCATTGTTCCTAGTCAGCCTAGGCAGCAGGGGACCACAGCGGGGCAGGGAGAGCTGTCCCGGCTTGGTGGGACTCTGCCTCCCAGCCACATGGAGATCAGGACCCATCCTGATCTCCATGGGGCAGAGAGAGCTGTCCCAGCTGCTAGACAGCTGCCTCCCAGCCACATGGAGATTGGGATGGGTCCCAATCTCCACATGGCTGGGAGACAGCTGCCCGGTAAGCAGAACAGCTCTCCCTGACCCATCCTGATCTCCACGTGGCTGGGAGGCAGCTGCCCGGCAGCAGGGACAGCTCTCCCCCACTTGTGGAGATCAGGACCAGCCCCCGTGCCTGCTGCCATCTTGGGGCTAGGATCCAGGGGAGCCTAGAGCTCTCTCTGGCTGCTGCAGGAGGGCAGAGCAGGGCAGAACCAGCCCTAGACTGAACTGCTCCCACCAGGAGCAAATGTGCTCCCAACAGGCACACGTTCAGATGTGTGCAGGGACACAGTTTGATGTGCCTGAATTGTCTGTGCAGAAAATTCAGGTGCATTCATTGCATGTGTAGCCATGTCCACTGACTCCTTCCTTGTGGGCTGCCAAATAGCAATTGTAGGATTGTTTTCCATCATATAGAGCCTCAGTTAGTTCATGACATTGATAAGGTTTTGATCTGTCACTGTTTAAGTCTAAGATCAGGTCTCTGGAAGGGTGAGGAAGGGCACTAGGAGGCTTGTGGAGCATATCCGAGTAAAAGGATACTGTGTCTGAAGGGGGCACAGGTTCCCTGACACCTGTAATTAGAGTTATTGTTTTGCATTTCCCTATGCAATTCTCACAATATGTCCCTGTAAAAATGTAACATGGTGAGGAATATCACAGACCTTTAAACCCCCTTATAATAAAAAAATGGCAAGACAAACTGCAATGTTATTCTGTTACTGTATGTTTACTACACTGCAATAGACTCTGCCTCTTATCTTTAGTTCCTTTTTGTAAGCAGGTGCTAACAATATACTTTCCTCAGTAAAGAAAGTTGCCTCCAGCATTGATGTCTCTTAGTGACACAAAAGAGTTTAGAAAGCAAGAGTGCAAAAATTATAAGAAGCATAAAATTTTTGTTGCACAATTTTTTTCATGATAATGCATTTTAAGAGCCCCTTGCTGAAATTACTTTAAATTTGTATCTTTAACCCTACTCTGAATCCCTAGGAGACATTGCCTTTTTCAAGATAGTTGGAGTAAACATGTTGATTTTAAAACACTTACAAATGTAGCTGTTTAGTGAGTAAATTAGTCTCCATATTAACTACAGTGGTGTTACCACTATAATAACAATTAATTCTTTCTCTAGTTCTCTCAGGCTAATTCTTTTCATCAGTGCTGAGTTCTCTTCTAAAATAAATATATAGCACATACACTGTTTTGGCATGAGCTGAACTCTTTAGGAATTGTGTTAGACTAAAGATATTGTGTATCTTGATACTAAGAGGGTCTATATTTTATATATGGTAAGTCCTGTGGAACTGCATGTAAGTATGCACATATACATGCATCTGTAGGAAAACTGTCATTTAAAACCTTCTCCTTCCATTCTCCCACCCCCTGAGCTGGCTTGTATTAAATATTAACAAACTTTCACCAATGGTTCCCTTGGCCTCCTTTTAACAACAGATGTTATTACAACAACTTCTCTCCCTCCCCCATCGCTTTTGTCCACACCACCAAATGTGAAACCTCAGAATCTTTTTCCGGTAACTCTGCCTTTGCTGCCTCGCTGCTTCTTGTGCTGTGCAGTTTCTCCTTGTCTTTCTCACTCTGTCACCGGGACCGTTGATGCTGCCTACCTGTGTTAGCCACTGCAGGCAACTTGCACTACTACTCACCAATCATCACCGAATTATCTTACAGGGCAGAGTGAAGAAGAAAAGGAGACAAGAAGAGAGAGAGCTCTCACTGTGAGAGTAGAAGACAGAAGAAGAGGGAGTAAGAGGAGTAGCAGGGATGGCCAACAAGTCCAGCACACTGCCGCGAGTCACCTTTCAGACTCCAGAGAAGCCTGAGGAGGAATCCTCCCACAGGAAACTAGGCAAGCTAACTGTGAAGTACAACCGCAAAGACCTTCAACGATGGCGAGACCTGGAGGAATGGATTGATGCCCAGTTGCAGGAGCTGTACCAGTACCAGGTGGGGAACTGGGGTGAATTAGACTTAAGTGTAGGGGTCACAGGCCAGGTGTGCCATGACATGTTTTTTTTAATTTATGGGAGTAGCGTAGTACATAGTGACTACCAAGGGTGACTTCATTCTTTGTTGAGCATCCCGCTGCCACACTGCTAGCACTTGATCTCTCTAAGTTTGTCTTGTCATCACTGCAATGACTGTAGCTATTGTAGACATACCTGAGACACCTTTAAAGTAGCCAGTTCAGCTGCCACTTGTATTATAGCTCTGGCAGCCTGGAGCTCAGCAAAACCCTCCCAAGAAACTGGATAAACACTCTGGCAATTAGCCCATGCTGAGCTTAGGCTGCTGCAGCTGGAATGCTACCAGCACCTGAGCCAGCTACTTTAAAGGTAGCTCCAGTATATTTAAGTAGGCTACAGTTACAACAGGTAGACATACCCTTAGTGCTACCACAGTGTTAGGGATCACACTCTGCGTAACACCATATCTACCGGCAGAGAACACTGGTGTAGAGGAAAGAAGAGAGAAATGGGGGGCTCAGCCAGTGTGTGTACAGATTGTGTTTCCATCCCTATAGACATGAAACTTTCTTCCTCAGGCCAATGTTTTCATCAGCAATTATGTTATTGGGTGAGAGTGCATATGGGCAATTCTTTCTGTCCATATTTGAGTTGGCAAAAGCAAGTAAAGGTTTGAGAGTCCCTAAACATATGCCTATATCAATACTAATCTTTTTTTTTTTTAACCGCTTTATACCAGGAGTTTTTTACTGCTTTTGTATGAAACATTCCAGAGCTGACTAAACACTAAAACATTCATTTGACAACGTGCTACCTTTAATATTTTGCATTTACATAGCACCACCACAGAGAGCCTATGTAGTATTTTCCCCTTTTCAGGAAGCTGAGACATGGAATCATTATGGAATTTGCCTGGGGTCACACAACAAGACCTGATAAAAAACCTACTGAAATGACAAGGTTCAATTAATTTTGTATCAGGCTCCTCTAAAAAGCAGAAGCACCAGTAGAACCCAAATCTCCTGCCCATCCTATCTATCATGGCAGCTACCTTCAGCAGAAGTGGAAATGGGTCTAACAGTTTGTATAAAATAAGATGCCCATCTTCATCCAGAAGCTGATTAAACATTTACTAGTAGATATCTCCAAAAGTTTGGTTAACTTTCAGTTTGAACATCTGTGATTTCAGATTTTAACTAGAATTGGAAAAGGACATCCAATGCCCCTGGAAAGGCTGTTACATGATTTTTTGTACCAGGAGCTACAAAATTAACACTGTGAACTCTTCAGAAATGTATCCAAACTTTTGGGTCCTCCATTGCTTTGTACATTTTTCTGAACCTTTATTAACTTGTGGGCTCATTCTCCATTCTTTATGTATTAAATCTAATTTCTCTTTGCATATATTGATTTCTTATTTTATTTTATACATTTATGCCCATCCTACATGCCAGGCAGTTTATAATACATTAACAAAGACAATAGCAGGTACAGTCTCCAGACTGCCCCAATACTTGAAAAGAGATAACAGTTCAGTTCTATTTTGCACCATCAACAAGTGGCAATGGAATTAAAATGTATAGAACAAAGAAACTATATTGTCACTTTGTTTTATGATACATCTGGCACTTCTGAGCAAAAATATCTGGTTTCCTGACTTATTATTACCATTTGTTTTATTAAGTAGTGTTTTAATCTTCCTGAAATTCAGAAAACTACTGTATTAGCTAGGTTAGATCAATGGCGCTCAACCTTTTGGCCCCACAGGCAGAATGAGTGATGCAGAACTGGTCTACAAGTTGGATCCACCAGGTCAGCACTCAGATCAGACCCCATCAGGATCCCACCTCACGCTGCCCCACCCCACACACCAAATCTAGCATGCAGGGCAAATGCTGTCTACCCATAAGGCTCCCACAGGTCCAGAATTTTGGCAGCAGGGGAACACCAATTAATGCTGCCCCCACTCTCCTGACACTAGATTTTCAGACTCATAGGGAGTGCTGCAAACTTGGGTTTCACAAGCTGGATCTGGTTCAGCGGGCAGGGATTGAGCATTCCTGTGCTAGATGGTTCCTTCATGTCTTAGTCTCTTTGCATATGTGAATCTATTCTTTCATTTTGTAAATAATACTAATTGGTGCTCATTCCATGCTCCATTAACCAAAACAATAGCAGATAGAGTCTCTAGATAGTTTTAAACAGACTGCCCCAGATTACCCATTGATAGAACTGTCACAAGGTCTAGAATTGTGAATCAATAAAGAAATATATACTTTATGTTAATTTAGTGTTTATTCAAGGTGTCAGACTGACCATCCCCATAAATGAAGACTTTATACATGCAACAGGTACAGCAACAGTACTAGTTTCCCTTTCACTGTGTTTGAACTTGGATTTGATGAGACCATTTAAGGGGTGATAGGTTTGTTCAGTTGGCCTTTGGCTTCTCTGCTCAGGCTGTCAACAAGAATAATGATTTTGATGATAATTTGTTTGATATAGAAATTGGACTGGGACCAAAAGACACTGAATGCTAGCCCCTTTTGATTTTGACTCACTACCAGTCTGAGCTGGAAGTAACCCATCAGCATAACAGTGAAAGGCTCTGTGGTCCATTAGTCTTATAGTCCCTCAAAGCTGGCCCTGCTGGAAAAAACTGTTCCCAGGACTTTCTCTGTTCTGTTTTCATTTGCCAGAGATGTGCTGATTTGGTACCATTTTTTTTACTTGGCTTGAAGAAGACAAGCTGGCTGTTTTTTGGCTTCATCTTAACTTTTAAAATTACAATAAAACCCACCTATGTGGTTTTACTTTTTTTGGTTTAATCCATAATATTTTGCAGCTAAAGACCCACAGTTCCAGGCTAGCATGCCAATTCTCTTGTGAAACACATGTACATTGTGTCCCTCTATTAGTTCAGTAGAAATTGCAGTGTAGAGCAGGCCCCAGAACCAAGATGTCACTGCATTCTTGTGACAAGACTAATTACATTTGATAGGGAAAAATTAAAAGGAGCCCATTTCCACTTTGCAGCCTAAAGAGTACAGACCCTTATGGTATTTACACCTGTGGAGCTGGCAAAAGATGAAGCTGTTCATGGGGCTGACAGTGTCCTGTTGTGAGGGAGTTCACAATGATGGAGATCTGGATGATAGAGCACTACCATGTTGAGGCTCACAAAGCTAAAAGGAAGTGGCAGGAGAGAGTTCTGAGAAAGTTAGCAAGGACAATTACTGCTCCTTTAAGAGTGAGACTTACAGTTGTTCACAGAAGCTAGTAAAATTTAAAATATCTATTTAAAAATTGTACAGCAGGTGATGGTAATCTAGGGGTAGGTTTTGATTACTCTTTTCTAAGGACAGGGTATCCTTCCCTTTGTGAGACTTGCCCCTTCCAGACCTGCAAATGAATGTTTTTAAGGAGCCACAAAGGCAACAAGTCAAGTCTTTTTTTTTCCATCTCTGATCTCCTGAGAGTCTGTATTCCCTAATCAGGCTCTGTTTTTATATTTCCTAATGAACATCATGGCTGGGATGATCTAGTAGGGAATGGTCCTGCTTTGAGCAGGAGGTTGGACTAGGTGACCTCCTGAGGTCCCTTCCAAACCTCATTTTTTATTCAGTGGTAGCTCTCTCAAGGACACAGAACTGGAGTCCATCTTTCTTTCCTTAGTACAGAATCCCAGAGGGAACAAGAAAATCAGAAAATACAGCATTTTTAAACCTGCAGTCCATAGATTATAGTTATAGATACCGTCAGTCTTTCTTTCCTTATTGCAAAGTCCCAGCAGGAACAAGGACATCAGAAAATGCAGCATCATTGTTCATGGAGTGAGTTGCCTGTGACACGTGCTTGTTCTGCTGGCTCCTCTCCCTCATAAGAAATTCTCCCATGTTCAGACAGGCATTTCAGCATTCATATCCTTAGACCAAGCATCCAGATTTCCACCTACAGTGAACCAGACACATTGGGAAGTGGCATAACCAGTGTGTGCAGGTTTTAAAGCCTGTTGAAAGGGTACAGAGCAGTCTGTAGTCAATATGTTACTTGCAGAATGTCTTAAAAGATTTTTTTTAATAAGGAAGAAGTGATTCTAGATTTTTCTTCAGTGAAAAAGGGTGTCTACTGGGCTGCCTAACTCTGCTCCCTGGATTGTAGCAGGACTGTTTTAATTATCCTCAATAGCCGCCTCTTCATTAATGCAACTGGCAACAATTCCACAGCTTCCATTGGCAGCTTGTTCTGTTCCCTTGACTATTTTCTTACCATAATTATATTTTTAATGCATTGCAGAAGTTTAACTATCAGGGTTAAAATATCAAGGATTCCTAGAAATCACAAATTTAAATCGTAGCAGGGTAAATTCAAATGTTCCCCCTGATCTGGACAAATTAAGTGCCACAGAATTTGTTGGGTGTGGACATTTCAAAAGAGAACTTAAGTAGGGAGATTCTGTGTCAGTTTGTATTGATGTGGTTCTTCTGAGACCCAGTTTCCTTGAGCCTGTGGTAGGGGCTGATTGTTGTACATTCACATAGTATTGGTAGGTGTGCTGCCAGCAGGTCAAGAGAAGTGATTATTCCCCTCTATTCAGCACTGGCGAGACCACATCAGGAGTACTGTGTTAAGTTTTGGGGCCCCCCACTACAGAAAGGATGTAGACAAATTGGAGAGAGTTCAGCAGAGGGCAACAAAAATGGTGAGGGGGCTAGGGCACATGACGTATGAGGAGAGGCACAGGCAACTGGTAGAGGAGGCATGGGGGGGCACGTGCCCCCCTGAGATTGGTACCTGAAAGTGCTGGGGGGCCCATTGATGGACCCCAACTTGGCACCACTCAGGACAGGGCCAGGCGCAGAACAGATCCCCGCCAGTCTGATTATAGGGCCAGGGACCGTGCCCTGTTTCTCTACCCAGCCCCACCCTCCCTCACAGTGCTCTGGAGCCCAGAACCTCAGAGAGCACTCCAACCAACCAGAGCGCTGCCCCACCTCCCTCACCTGCGTAGCCCCTCCTTCCCTCTCCCTACCTGCTAAGAGCGTGCTCCCATCCCCCAGCAGAGGTGCCGATCCTGCTACTGGAAGAAAGGTATGCCTGGGGCTCTTGCTGGGGTGGGGGAGGGGATAGTGCTGTGCTGTGCCCCCCCACCAGACTCAGCAGGCATCAGTCGCCCATGAGGAGAAGCTGAGGAAATTGGGCTTATTTAGTCTAGAGAAGAGAAGCCTGAGAGGGAATTTAATAGCAGCCTTCAACTACCTGATGGGGGTTCAAAAGAGGATGGAGCTAAACTGTTCTCAGTGGTGGCAGATGACAGAACAAGGAGCAACAGTCTCAAGTTGCTGCAAGGGAAGATTAGGTTAGATATTAAGAAGAATTTTCTCTCCAGGAGGGTAGTGTAAAACACTGAAACAGGTTAACCAGAGAGGTGGTAGAATTTCCATCCTTGGGAGGTTTTCAAGACTTGGCTAGAACAAAGGTTTGTCTGGGATGATCTAGTTGGGGATGGTCCTGCTTGGAGCAGGGGGTTGGACTAGAGACCTCCTGAGGTCACTTCCAACTCTATGATTCTATGAATCTATCCCATTGCAACTGCACTATCTCTTGGGAAGGTTCCTATCACAATGGCACGAATTTCCTTGGGCAGAAGTGTCAGGTTTAGGGGTAGGACTGTTCGACTGGCTGGTAGGACTTTGCTGTGCCAGTAGGAGCAGGGAGGTGTTACCTATGCAAAGCGGCATTGTGCATGTTCATAGGTATTGCTCCAATTAGTGCCAGAGATGAATCACAACCCTGGTTCTAAACTCTGCTAACATTTTGAGAAGAATAATTTCTTGACACATTCTTTGGAGCCTGGGGTCATCTTGACCTGGAATCCTCTTCCCTGCTCACTTCTCCATTTAAGACTTACTTGAATCATTGCAAATTGAAGAGTATTTATTATATATTTCTGTTCTAGCTACAGGAGGAGGCAGAAGCAGCCGTCCCTGAACCAGAAATTGACATTGAAGATCTTCTGGAGGTCCCTAATGATGAACAGAAGTCAAAGCTCCAGGTCAGATAAAGATACTCTGCTTCCTACCTATAGTAAACATGGGAGCTAAGGCCTTGGCTACACTAGAAAATTGATCCATTGATGAAAATGTGGGTCAGTAACAGCCCACTTGGAAATGATACTGATAGAAGTTTAACAGCTCACATAGATGATATGAAACCATCAACTTCACTTCTGTGACTGTGATCAAGGGCTGCTCTGCATTTGAGTTTTGCCACTATAAAAAAGATTATAGTTAAACCAGTGGATCCCAATTTATGGTTTCAGTTATCAAAATAAAGCATGATAAATCAAACTATGTGTAGTGCAACCCAGAGACTTGGCTTTTCTGCACCCAAATTAACATTTCTTTATTCTAACCCCTCTCCATCATATTGTCCATACTAGGTTTGAAAAAAGTTTTTGTCCTCTTTTCATTCATTCAAGGGATTAACTGCTAACTACCATGGTCTGCTACAAAAGTGCTACACTTGCTAGCACAATGACCGAAAGAGTCTTGGGGGTCCTGATTGACCACAAGATGAATATGAGTCACCAATGTGATGCTGTGGCTGGCAAAGCAAACCAAACTGTGGCGTGCATCTACTGATGCATCTCAAGCAAAACCAGGGACGTCATCCTCCCTTTTTACTTGGCCTTGGTGAGGCCACAGCTGGAGTAGTGTGTCCAGTTTTGGGCCCCACACTTCAAGAGGGATGTGGAAAAGCTTGAGAGAGTCCAGAGGAGAGCCACTCATATGATCCAAGGCCTGGAGAGCAGGCCATACGAGGAGAGGCTGAGGGATCTGGAACTCTTCATTCTAGAAAAGAGAAGGTTCAGGGGTGACTTGGTAGCAGCCTACAATTATATAAGAGGGGTACATCAGGACCTGGGAGAACAGCTGTTCACCAGAGCTCCCCAAGCGATAACAAGGTCTAACAGCCATAAACTCCAGGAAGGCTGATTTAGACTAGACATAAGGAAAAAGTTCTTTACGGTGCAAGCCTCCAGGGTCTGGAACAGACTCCTCCCAGAGGTGGTGCAAGCACCTACTCTGGACTCTTTCAAAAAATGTCTGGATATTTTTCTTGCTGGGATCACTTGATCTCAGCTGACTTCCTGCCTATGGCAGGGGGGCTGGACTCGATGATCTCACAAGATCCCTTCCAGCACCTTATGTCTATGAAATCTGTACCCTATTGTAGACATCCTATTGACATGGACTATGCATGATTTATCTTTTTAAGTATATAGATTGATAATTTTCTTGTTCAGGATAATTGCCCTAATTATTCATTAAGGATGGGTAAATTACTGTAGCTCAAATAAATTAAGTTGGAACTCAGCCTTTCACCCAAAGTCTAGACTGGACCTGTTGTGAGGTCAGACAAACGTTGTTACCTGTTAATGCAGTTGTTTTCTAGGGCTGTGTGAGTCTTCGGACAGAGCTTCGGATCTGGAGAAGCTTTGGATGTGCTGGCTTCGTTAGGCTTCCCGAAGCAGTTCGGAGCTTCCAAAGTACTTCGGAGCTGCCTTGGAGATCCAGCCATAGGGTATAATGGGGAAACAATACAATATCTATAACTTTGTTGTTTTTTGTCTGATTTGGATGAAATTTTCAGGTATGGTAGACTCTACAGAGAGCATGAAGCCTGTCAAGCTTCAAGTAGGTTGGTGCAGGGGGTTGGGGGGAAGTGCACCCCAAATTCTTGAAAGCAAAACTCCTGTCATGTCTATGTTTTACAACACAGGGGGGTCAAAACTGCAGGGGTGGTAGCTCTTGCTGAGGCCACAAAGCCTACCAAGTTTCAAGAAGATTGGTGCAGGGTGCCAAGTTTCAAGAAGATCAGTGCAGGGGTTTGGAGGGAACTGCGGACAAGCAAAACGCGTGCCATGGGTGCTTATGGGACTGACTGTGTCCGTCTTGGGGCGGGGAGGGGAGACACTACTGCACGCCTGGCTGCTAAGCTTCTGTGTTACCAGTTACCAATCAATCAATCAATCATGATTTGCTCAGGGACCAGGGACTCTGGGACCAGCTCAATACACAGGAGCTAGCTACTACATAACAACTTAACAAGCATCAATTAGCACCTACAAAACCAGGCTAAGGAGAGGAAAGCATCAATACAGACAATAAACTGCCCCAAGACAGACACAGGCAGGCCCACAAGCACCCATGGCATGAGTTTTGTCTGTCAGCAGCTAGAGGTGCAGGGCCCCAGAACCCACCTGCACCAATCTCCTTGACAGCTGGCAGGCTTCATGGCCGCAGCAGGGGCCACCATCCCTGCAGCTGTCACCCCGCTGCACCTTAAGACATGCAGTGTCACCCATGGCACGAGTTTTGCTTGTCCACAGCTTGAGGAGCAGTTCCCCCCAAGCCCCTGCACCAACCTTCTTGAAACTTGGCAGGCTTTGTGGCCTCAATAAGAGCTACCACCCCTGCAGTTTTGACCCTCCTGTGATGTAACACATAGACGAGACAAGAGTTTTGCTTTCAAGAATTTGGGGTACAGTTCCCCCTAAACCCCTGCACCAATCTGCTTGAAACTTGGCAGGCTCTGTGGTCTCACCAGGGGCCATCACTCCTGCCGTTTTCACTCCCCTGTGGTGTAACACAGCTGTGACATGAGTTTGGCTTTCAAGAATTTGGGGTACAGTTTTCCCCAAATCCCTGCACTGATCTTCTTGAAACGTGGCAGATTTTATGCTCTCAGCCAAGGCTACCATACCTGAAAGTTTAATCCAAATTGAACAAAAAGCAACAAAGTTATAGATATTTTATTGATTCCCCCATTATACCCTATGGCCGTATCTCTGAAGTGGCATGTGGAAACCCGGTCCGGAGTTCCGGATCAGATCACTGCCATCCGAAGCAGCCAGATCTGAAGCCGGATTGGATCACTGCTGACTCGCACAGGCCTATTGTTTTCATTCTCCTACATGCCTATCCTAGTTGTACTGTATTTATAACTCCATTTGTTCCTCCCCTACAAAAAATGTAGTAGCTGTTCTTGGAGTATTTCTGGTTCCAGCAAATGCATGAAGCATCTGAAATCACGTGGAAATGTAATTTCTTATGAGGTTTCCAGCCCTGTTTTGCAGATTCAGTATCCTGGGCTAAGCCTCCAAAGTCTTAAGCATTTATCCAGAATGAACATCAGAAAACTTCACAGTATTACTTAGCTGTTATAGATCCTGACTTAAAGCAGAGCTGTCCAACTTCCAGGTAGCCAGGGACCTTGTGGGCTGTAGTCCTCAGGGATTGCACGTGGCACGGACTGCAGACCTGAGGCCCATAGGTGGTCACCCTTGGGCTCTGGCCCATTGCATGGACAGCCCAACAAACCTTTGCCCCATCCCAGCCCATGTGTACAGCTCAGTCATGTAGGCAGGCCCTGCACTGTATATACAGCATCCCTGACCACACGCATTGCCCACCGGCAGCGTGGGTAGCCTGACTCCTGTCTTTGTTTCATGCAGCACAAATAACTCAGTTACCTAATGTGCAGCTTGGACGCACCAGCTCCTTCCCACTGCAGTACCCCACCACCACCAAGAGAAGAAGCAGGAAGCAGAAGCCAAAAGAGGCAGGAGCAAGAATAAGGGCGTAGTGGTGGTTGGGTGAGAGCCTCCGGGCTGCATTCTAACCCTCTGAGGGTTTCATGCAAGCCTGCAGGCCACCAGTTGGACAGCCCTAACTTAAAAGTATGCTGAAGTTAATGGAAGACCCATACTGATTTCAATGGGGCCTTGGTTTTGGCCCATGCCTTGTTCTCCACATGCAGCTCTCAAAGGGAAAATATCATGACCAGGGATCCTGGTTTTCTGTTTAAAAATAGCAAATTCTCTGATAAAACCCACAACATTCTCTGAATAAAGCCTCCAAAATCCATGTTTTCCCATTATTAAAATGAAACACCATTATATATATAGGTATCAGTTGAACAGAATGTTTTATTGATATATTTAAAATCTGAAAGCAATTTGGGAGCCTACCAGTGCCTCAGTCACTACCTATACATTTTGCTGTTCGATTCTGGGTTTCTTATCATGGAAAATCACAGCTCCCCCTTCCCGCTTCATGCACCAGGATGCAGGTCCATCTGAGGTTGTCCCCCCCACAACTGCTTTTTGGTGCTGAGCAGCTCTGATATGCCAGTGCCCTGCTCATGCCATTGCCCCTCACTCCCCAACCATAGTCCCCCCCGACCCCTGCTGGTGCCCCTCACTCACCCCCTGCCTCCCCAGCTCTGTCACAGGGGGCCCCCAGCTGGGAGGACTATGGGGCCAGGGACTGGGTCTGCAGCCCCCTGCCCCTCGCAGCAGTGCCCAAGCCCTGGCTGCTGCCTTTAGGAGGCAGTGGCTTCTGCAGTGGAGTGGAGCACAGAGCCTGGCTCCCCCTCCCCATGGGCAGCACAACCAGAGTGTAACCCGTGGGGGGTAGGTGTGGGCTGCTTACTGTAGGCTTTGGGCTCCCTGCCCTGCTGCCCTCCTCCTGGGGCCTCCACAGCCCAGTGGCCGGGACCTAGCTCAGCAGAGCAGAGCAGGGCTGGGCAGGGAAGCTTGTTGCTGCTGCTAAGACCTCTGTGCTGCCATAGCGAGAAGCCCCCTGCCCGCCCAGCAGTGGCAAGGGGCACAACTCCTCACTGCCATCCCTGCTGCTGCCGCCTCGCTATGGCAGTGCAGGACTCACAGCAATGGCAACAAGCTTCCCTGCCCAGCCCCACTCTGCTCTGCTGCACTGCATCCTGCCCGCTGAGGTGCAGAGGCCCTGGAGGGAGGGTAACAAGGCGAAGAGCCCGAGCCTGCAGTGGGCAGACCACACCTGCCCCTACTCCGTGTACAGATCTGGGGGGTACATGCCCCCCATGTTCCCCCAGTAGTGTGCACAGTGGCAGAGAGCCAGCCCCTGCTACCCCCTGGATGAGCTGCCCACAGCTCGGTCCCACTCCCTGCCCGGGCCCTGTGGCCATGCGTTCCAGCCCCAGGCCCCAAGCCCCATGTACCACCTGGCTGAGCAGTAGCCCCAGCCCTGCCCAACTCACTCCCTCTCTCACTGTAGGGACCTCAATTCCCTGCTCCCCCAACTTACCTGTGGGAGATTCTCTCCAGGCTGCCTGGTGGCCATGTGTATGTGTACATACACACATGCACATGCCCCCCCCCCACCTAAACACCCTCTTTCCACTCCCCCCCAGGCCCTTGCAAGCTGGAACTCTGCCAGTCTGCAAGGGAAAATCCACATTTCCCACATTTTTCTCCTTAAAATGAGAAAATCCAGGTTTTACCATGTTTTTCCATGGCAAACAGAAAACCTGGAACCATGATCGTAACTAAAAATCATGCTGGAAGCAGAATCTCTACACATCATACAATGTGTCCACAGTTATATTTGTCTGTGAGGTCCTATATGGTGAATTAAAATTGGTACTGCTAAACTGATCTAGCACTGTGGAAGAGGTATTATAAATGGGCTATAAATGGTAAATGATTTGACAATGGTGTGTCCACGGATTTTCTGCATAATGTAGCAAGCAGGGCAGACCAATAGTAGCATGTGTGATGTTGTATTTTGTCTATGATCACATTGCTAAACATCCATGCACTCTGTAGCATGCTATATACATCTCCTTTTTTCCATTTAGGAAGTGCAAAAAGTAGTCAAACTCTGAAAGAATTAAAATTAATTTGTCTTTGCTTTTCAGGAAATTCTTCATGAGTGTTCCCGACCTACAGAGGTGAGTGAAGCATTAGCTTCTGTGAGGCTTTTGAGATTGCCACAGAGAAGTACATCACTGCACCCATGTCAAACTCAGAAAGGTGACAGTGAAGCCATCCTGAAAGCACTCTTCACACCTACCACTGTTCTCAAGCCCATCAGAGATAGAGAGCACTGTAAAAATGGTCTAAACATGCCCAATGTTTGTGTCTAATTTCACTATACTGTGCTGTGGGTATGTAGTTTGGCTCCATAGCCTTAAGTAGGCTGTTGCTGCAGGTTTTGGCAGCATGAAATATCACATTTGTTCAGTTTTGGGGGTGGGGGGTGTTAATACTTCATTCCATCTTTTTATAAAACCAAATATTACCACATATGCATAATACTAAGTGATGGCTGATTTCAGATGTGTTTCCTATGGAATTCTAAGGTCTTGTATCCTAGTTATAGGCACAGGAGACACCAGAAACTCAAATGATCTTTGGAAGAATAGACTACAGTAGGTCACAAATTGGCCATATGATGTTGTTCATACCTCATAATTATATTTGGCTGCATAGTGTACATGCATAACAGGAGAGTTTCCTTCCTCCATGTGTTCTTTTGCACTTCTCTACAACCACCCTCGCTGCCTTTGATCATTTTGTCCCATCATTATTCATTTCCATTGTATCCCACATTGTCATTGTAAATGGCTGAAGGAAGATTCCCCATGCACAAAGATGGGTTGATGAATGATTCACATGGACATTTAACTTGATCAAATCAAGCATATTTGAGTTGCAGAAGCCTGCCTAGAATACTGCTCACTCCAGTTTGACAGGCAGCAGCTGTAGTGAGGTTGGCTCTGGAATCCCATCTGTAAGTCATAGGCAAGAGCACAAGGCTAACTGTGACTGTGTGGGTAACCAGAAGGAGTTGATATTATTCACTATCATAATCTGTTTACAGGCCGAAAGGCTGCAGCTTGCTAACAACTACCTGGACTAGAGCAGTATTTTAGGACTAGATGTTATGCTTGTCCAAGGCATTCACTAATAAATAACTCCAGCTACAAGTGTGGGAAAGAGGGCTGCCAAACTGGCAGGCACAGAATATATTGTAAACATAAAGTAAAACTATATGTGCATTGACATTGGCAGATTCAACAGAAAGTAATCTTAAATTCACACATGTGGATTCAACACATTCACATAGCTCACACTAGATACTGAAGTATGTGTATGTATCCAGCCATGGGTTCCTCACGATCACATTCCTGGAATCCCTATGTAGAAAGCAGACAGAATCACAGCAAATACATGGGGAAGGTTTTGATCCAGAAGGTATGGTTCTGAGAATTTATCCTGAAACATGCAATGATGGAGTCAGCACAGTTCTCACTACCTATGAAGTCAGGCTCCCAATCAACCCTGCTATAAACAAAAAACTTGGCACTCTACCATGCTTAGATTGGCCTTTCCTAAGTGTAGTGATCTTATTAGTGAACACTTAGAAAGGGAGTTCAGATCATCTGATTCTTTATGGTGATACAGGTTGTTATGGGAATTTGTGCTACTGTTTACAGTGATAATCAGATGCCCCAGTTTTGAAGTTATCAACATTTCAGTAAAATTGGGGCGGGGGGGGCCATCTTAATTGCTCATCCACCTAGTCTGCTCATCTCACCTTCTGACCTCATTGCTCCTTACTCACTCACCAATGTGTTTAGGCCTCTCTGCCAGCCATGTCCTCATAGAACTGAGCCAGTTACCGTGGGTCACAATGTGAAATGCCCTATAATTCACTATGTATTGGCATGGCATATTAAACAAGCAAAATATAGGTTATATTTTAGCCTAGATCTTGAGTGCAACAAGAAGTGAGTGGGAAGTTGTAGTGGTAATAGGAGAGTCAATGCAGAAGCACTGGACCCAGTAGGGACAGCTACACCCTCACGTCATTAATGGGCAGCAGCAAATGGACTCCACAGAGAGAAAGCGGTGGACTGTATAGGAAGAGACAGGAGGTGAGACTGCTGTAAATGAAGTCAGTGGAGAGGAGAGGCTAGGGATGAGAAGACACTGGGTGATACCTGCAGCCAAGGTTGGGAATTTTGACTAGAGTGTGCCAGTGTTTCTGCTAGGACCAAAATCCAGGGGCTTTTGGCAAGAGGGTCTTGCCCCTCCACTCAGAGTTAGATATGTCTCCACATTTGGATTCAGGAAGGAATTTTACTCCATGGTCAGACTGGTACAGACTGGAGGTTTTGTCTTTCTCTGTAGCGGGCACATGGCTATCTTCTTTGGATCTTTCAAGTGGATTTTAATAATCCTTGCAGCAGCAAGGATCACCAGTGTCCCCCCTGCTTTACTTTGGGCAGGTTAGAGTGCTACAGTTGTAGCTGTGAAACAGGATTGTGTAGCCTTAGTAATAGGTTAGATGAGGATTTATATGGGATGGTTTGAATATAAATGATGATCCTCAGGCAGGGGATTGGACTAGATGACCTCCAAAGGTCCCTTCCAGCCCTAATTTTCTATGATTCTATGGGAAAGGAAATGGGTATCTTCCCCCTGTATCTGTCCCTGCTCAGTTGTCAAAAAATCTCACCTTCCCTTCTCCAAACAGACCGAGAGGTAACATGGTCTGCAATTCAGAATTCTGGTCCTTATACTTCTACTACACAGAAAGGGAAAAGAGGGTGATACAGAAGGCATGACCCCTATGGCATATCTGCATCACCTCCACACCACACCCAAGGTGCAGCTTGAAGCCTGCCTTACCTACTTCTTCCCAAAACCTAGAGATGAGGTAGTATAGCTGCCTCAGAACAGCACTGATCATGTGCCTGTCCTACTGAGACTTTCTGTCTTAGGAGTGCTTCTGTAAGGTGACTGTACTTCCTCATTTCTGGTATTGGGTATAGATGGAGTTGGAGGGAATGGATGGAGTTGTTGGTGAAAATAATAAACACTAAAGCCTTCTTTTGATTCTCATTCCAGGACTTCATTACTGAACTGCTGAGCCGGTTGAAAGGTCTCAGGAAAATCCCTTCCCCACAAAAGAAATGATTCCACCCATCTTGTGAAGCCTCTATCATTGCTTCTATGGAAACATGCATCTCCCCAGGGAAGAGAATCATGGGAAGATTATTTTTAGTTTCTTCTGGAATATGGTGTCACTAAGAAACACCTTACATACTTTCTGCACCATGGGGGTTGAATTACTTCTTTTCGTCCCCACTCCTGACTTATTTGAGTAATTTGTCAATATTTAAAAAGCCGTGAAGTTTGGGGACAGGCCAAGATGACCTTCATGCTTCTCCTCTAATTTCCTTCTCAAAGGAACCCCTGCTCCACCTGAGCAGCACTGAACACAGCTCCATCATAGCCCATCAAGGCTGCTTATTCCATCCAGTGACTGAAAGGAAAAATAAGTCATTGGCTGTCATCCACACTTCTACTGAACTGCTCCTCCTCCCTGCCTATTTGAGACAGAAACCAAGATGTCTTTGTTAGTGCATTGTACAGACTCCAAGACAGCACATGGCCAGAAAGCTGCTTCCTGTATGTTTCCAGTCAGTGTTTTTATTCATCATCCTTCACTCAGTGCTCATTGAAGCTTTTCTCTTTATCCCACTGTGTGTCTATCATTAATGAATATTTAAGAGATGAGTGAATGTATGCAGCAGCCACTAAGGTTAATGGAAAATAGTCAGGCTTTATTTTTGTTCTCTGTGGTGCATGGGACTTCTGCAGATACTGCTGTCAGGAACAAAGGAGTTTGTCAAGGATTTTCCCTGTCATAACCATTGGGATATTATTATTATCCCAAAAACATTTTGTAAGATGCTTATTTTGTATATTAAAAGACATGAAAAGCAAGACCTGTTTGTGATGAGGGTCCTTTGTTCTGCTTTCCGAGAGGAAATACAGAGGGAAGAACAACTACATGAAAAACCTACCCAGGACTGGCCAAGGTCTCCCTACAGGGGGCATCTCAGAATCTGTTCCTTGGGATGGACAATCAACCCAGAAGAGAAATGGGAGCCTTTTGTCTCCCTACACAGATGCTTCTGGCTGCAGCAGGACTAGGACTGAAAAGCTTCTATAAAAGAAGCCACATTCAGTCTTTCTAGTCAGAGGGACAATGATATACCAAGCATAGGAGGGAAATGGACAGCAAATGTGGGGAGGGTATTTTGAGCTCAAAAACATCCTACAGAGCAGGAAAGTCTTAGTCCTTCTTCCACCTCCTCCTCCCTTCCCACTCTAGTCATCTCTCAGCCGTGGAAGTGAATTTTTAGGCCACTGTGGGAGAGGAAGTCCCGTGTAGCATTATGCTTCAAAGCCGATTTAGAGCAGGAACTCATCCTTGTATGCCTGTCTGTGGAAAGTAAAGGAAAAGGAAGGGCTGGGGTCTAGAACATAAAGACGACCTGTAGGGATGGGGTTAGTTTGTCTGCCGGCTACCAATAGAAAACAGATGGAGAGTCTGGCTGGACTAGAAATCTTGATTCATCTTAGATCTTAAAATTAGCTCAATTCTCTCTCCCTAGTCAGTGCCAGTCTGATGGCTCATGTTTGCCCCCCTCCCTGTGCTTCCTAGCATACCAGCAGGCAGTGAGCCCGACAATCCATCTTTAAAGACTTCTGATACTAAGCTAATCCCTCACCATTACAGTGCTGATAAGAGTCCAAAAGCCTCAGCAGCAGTATGGCAAAAGGGTGGAAATGGCACTTCCTTTTAGTGCTAATAGCCTGCCTGTGGGTATGCCCACATGCTAATAGTTGATCCAGGGGCTATCCTTTCTGTGCCACAACGCAGCAGTGAGACATGGCCAGTCCTAGCATGAACACAGATTTTGTAAATCTCAGCAGTTTGGGGAAAAAGAATGTTCAAATATTTGATTTAAATATACAACAGCTCTGCATCTCTACCTGTGCAGGGTGTTGGACTAGATCAGGGCTATTGAACTCACCCAGCCACCTGGGACAGATTTAGACTGTGGGGCTCTTTGGAGGCTGCATTTGGACCTACATCTAGCACTGGGGCAAGAGGAAACTGTAGCTTGCCTCTTTCACAGACACTAGTTCTCAACTGGGCTCCATACCTCAGATTTCAGCAGCTGGCAACAGCCCCAGATTCCCAGCCCCTCTAAGAGCCCTGCAGGCTGCATCTTTGACAACCCCCGACTAGATGATACGAGATCCCTTCTTACTTTATGACTTTATATCCATCAGGCAGGAACATTCTGTTTTCTCAGTTATCCCCTTTTATCTTTTGTATAGTTAAGATTGTCAAGATAAACCCCATTACCAAAAGTTATAGCACATATGTGCATTAGCATGTTATAGCATGTGTGCGCACACACCTCTCCTTGCTTGCTATTTTCTATATTTAAAATCTAAGTAAATTTATGCCCCGGTTCACACACTGAAATTCTTTCAGCCTTGACAATAAGAATAGATTTACCAGTGTTGCTTTTGGTTTACAGTCAGTTGATAAATAATTTCTTATCTTGGTTCTCAGTAGACCTATTAATTCAAAGCTGTGTCTGGCTTCTGTAGGATTTTTTTTTTTTTTTAAACAAACAAGTCCTCTTGATTGTAGCTCAGCTGGACACAGTTCAGTTGGTCTAGGTTTTACAAGTAAGGATCTATGCCCAGGTGTAGAATATAAAAACAACAAATCAAACCAAATCACCATTTTCTTGCCACTAGCACCACCTCAGAGCACCTTCCTAAAATATTCAACTTCTCTCTTCTGTGATATCATATTGGTTTTAATTCTACAGCAAAAATAAGTAAAAAAATTGAACTACTTTTTCAGGAAAATATTCTTCCAACCCTCCCTTAAGCATCATGAAGAAATAAAACTACATTCACACAATTTCTTTTGCATACATCACATATTCTTTACTCTCAGTATCACAGCTCAGAAGTTCCTAGCTTTTGTTGAGCATCTCTATGAATGTTTTCAAAGCAGCAGGCAAGGATTTAGTCACACCAGACCATTAAGTTAATGGGGGAACTGGGTAGGGCTATAGTCTGCCACTCTCTAAAAGCATGCTCCTTCATGTAATTGAGGCTAAGGTATTTAAAAGCAGCAGGTGTGAAGAAAAGGCTTAAATACCTGGAAGAAAGCCAAGACTAAGATCTATTGATGGAGCAGTTTGAACAAGTTCTAAACTGCAAGCCCCCTTCAAAAGGATGCAGGATACATGAACAGGAGCCACTGATAGTTCTCACATCTCGCTCTCCCTTCCCCAAAACATAATTGAGCAACAAAGGAGAGAGAATAAGACTATAAGGGATTTCACATAAAGCAGGCCCTTGCTCCAGGAATGGTGTCTCACCATAAATTGTTCCAATCGAATAGTTCCAAAATAACTATCCCTCTTAAATGGTCACAGCCCAGGACTACATTTTATTTTGTAGATGGCAACTTCCTCAGGGTAGGGACAAACTGTTTTATCCTGTGCAGGACATGGTTAGCCACTTACATAATAATCTGGTGTCTTTTGTGCTCATCCCAAAGCTCATTAACAAGGAGTTAGGCAAGCACTGTGACTACTGAAATGAACAGAAGAAGTGCAGTGGGAGTAGCCTGAACTGTTTTCCTTAAGAGGCTTTTTGCCAGGTCAGCAGATAATCTTAAGTCTCTCTGGCTATCTAGAGGCCTCTGACAGGAGGACAGTCTCCAGGGACCACAAAGGAGCTCAGCCCATGTTCATTGCAAGAGGAATGCATGCTGGAGTGGGGGAGGGGTAGGATTGTCAGTCTACTAGCAGCTCAAGCATGCAATTATCTGCTTCAATATTTGTGAGCCCTTATATCAGTTGGTTCTCAACCTTAGACTCAAGGCACCTCTGGACAGACTTGAGGTCCCCTTTGGAAAATGCTAGCTCTTCATTTTCACTCATTTTTTGACTACAGAAAAATATCAGGGAAAGTTTTTCTGTTGTGAAAAAAAGAATGCAGAAATCCATAGTTGTGGTCTATTTGAAGTCCCTGGGTTTGTCTTCTGAATGAAGTCTGTAAACATAACAGTGCCAACATTGTGTGGCACTTGTTGAAAGGATCTCAGGGCATCCTAGGGTATTCTAGCACCCGGGCGGGGGGGAAAAAAAATCATTGCTTATATGAAGCTGGAATGTGTTCCAGTATTTGGATTTTACCTTAAACATGACAAGAAGGATACAGGAACAATATTGCTCAGTAGTAAAAAGAAGCCCCCAAGGTGGAACACAGCAAGTATTTTTAATACCCCCTTCACAGCAACATTATATAAGGCCACCCCAAGGTCTCTCAGACCTGCCCAAGAGTATTTCAAAAAGTGCAAAATCTTCCATTTTGATTGCGATCTGTCTGGCACTAAAATGGAGGATATACATTATGGCACAATGATACGCCTTACATTCCAGGAAAGCTTTCACCACGCTCACCTCTTTTTATACCTTTTATTATACTTTGGAAATTTTCAAAGAAAAACTGACTTAATACAACTTGCTTTACCTTCTCTTTTGAGTAGGCATGCATGTTATTAGTAAAAGAAAAAAGTGATTCGTCACACAGCCTCATGTTGCCTTAAAAGGCATGCCATATCCATGGCTCTAGCATTATCTAAACTCCACTTGTTTTTAAGTTCTTGTTGTTTGCAACCATTTCTTGATGTTAAACCCTCATATACCCTATGCACACACTTCATTCCCAGCAACATTTCCCTGGCTGTGTTTTGGCAATGGGATCACATGGTTCTTCAAGCTTCTCCAGAACTACCAAGAGCCCATTAGTTGTTCAAGAGGTCACTAGTTTCAACTGCAATTGAAAACCCTCCTGGATTTCTCATCTAGACAATTCTCCTCTTTAATTTCCATCTTCCTTCCTGGCCAAGACTCAGACTCATTTGTGCTTGCGAAGAGGACGGTAGCTAGATGTGTGGTGCTCCTTCAGTTCAAACTCATTATGGCCTTCCCTGAAAGCCAGAAACAAAAAGTGTCATTAGCATTTAAGAAAAATAAGATTGCGCAAAGTGGTCCACTCAGCAGCAGCAACTACAGAGGCTACCCAAGTAAAAGATAGCTATGTTGCAGCCTGCAGTGTAGTTCCAATGAGCTTGCTTGGGTACTGGAGCCAGTTTGGCTACATTCATTTGTTGCTCTGCCCAGGCTAATACACTTTACTGAGAGACAGGGTAGATTAACCTGCACTGAGGGTCATGCAACTGTGGCTATATTGCATGAGATACCCAAGATGGCTCAGGTACTGCTACACTGCACTGTGGTCTGTAGTGTGAACATACCCCAAGAAGCAATCCCCAGTAGTATGTTTGGCTAAAATCTCCCTAAAACTGCCATTTGTTGTATATAGATTGAGAGCTGAGAGGTTTTGTTTCTTAATATCACACTAGTAATTTCTTTGTGGAGGGGAAGACTGCCAGATAAATCTGAAACCTCCACTCTATCTTCTGACTGCTAGCAAGAGAAATGACAGAGTTCCTTGCTTTCTGAAAGGTTCATGCTCACGTCACTGGTCATTTTCAATATCACAATGAAGGCGATGACTCCTATATAACAAGAGCTGCCATTACAATGCTAATGTGTACTGCAGAGGCTAGAATCCCTACTCAGTGGATTTCTCTTCTGTTGAACAGCGACAGACAGGGTTAGGCAAAGACGCAATCCCTGGTCTGTAGCACATGGCAAACTGACTTAATACCCTGCTTTTGTCTGGCCAATTGTTCTTGAAACTTAGCTAGCATCACTTGTAACACGTTTCTTACTATTTAATATATTCTTTTGCTCCAAGCATTGCTCTCTGCAGAGCTATGTACAAGCCATGAAATGACAAACAAACATTTCTTGC